TGGTTTTTGGTGTCCTGCTACAAACGTACGCCCCTGCACCCCCCCAACTCTCAATGCCCCCTGCGCCCACGCTGCATCCCTGCAGCACTGCACCGGGAATCTACGCTGTTACACACAACCCTACACACCACAGCTCGCACCCTCGCCACGCCCCTGCACCCGGCTCCCACCCCTTCACTACCCTCCCCCCCCACACCCCTACACCCCAACACACCTACGGTTGATGATATAAACCCTTCATTACCCATAGTAAGGAATATACCATAATTCCCGTAGTTCAGGGTCCTTCAGGTCATGCAGGATTTACATCATCAACAGTATGTACGCCCCTACACCCTTCCGCACAGCCTTGCAAAGGAAAGGCAAAGGACACATGGCCGGCAAAGGCAAAAACAAGGAAAGTATCTGTGAAGGGTGCGAAGAGACCGACAACACTTCTACATGAGAAGCAAGCTGCGAAGCTCCAGGACGGGCCCAATGTGAGGTTTAGGGCAAAGTTTAGGGCTTAGGGTGCAGGGTTTAAGGTTTAAGGTTTATAGGTTTTAGGGAGAAAGCTGATTTAGCAGGCCAGGGATTTCGCGCGGAAGCAGACACGACTACAGTGTACGGTGTACAGGCGCAAAAGACTTTCAGCGGCGGTCAGCAACAAGCAGAGGCCTTAAGCGAGGAAGTTGGTTTTTGGGTTGTCAGGGACGCAAAGCCCTGCGCCCGAAACCTTGACTTGTAGCCAGATACCCTAAAGACCCACTATTCTACCTGTTAGGTACCCTATACTATAGTATAATCAGTAGCCGCTAGGATGACCATTCTGCTTAGTAAGGCCTCTACTTTATAATGAGGAGCCCTTTGGAAATTCTATCTCAAAGCGTCCAGAAAAAACCTACGATTATGGAATTAGGTCCCAAAAGGGCCAGTCTTATTATGGATTTGGGGACTTAATTCCACCATAGTCGTGTGTATATATATATATATATAGAGACCCTCAGGGCATTCTACTTGTGATACACTCTTCTACGTCTGAAGGCCCCTTAAATTATGCATTGGCCATGCTCATCTGCGGTGCAGGCGGCAGTGCAGGCGGCGCAGACTTTGTTTCGTGGGCGGCTGTGGTCGGAGGCCGCGGCTTTGTTTTCAAGCTTTACAGGGCCTTAAGGGTTTGGGGTAAACCCCAATTCCTAAATCCTCAACACTAAGCTTTGAGCCTCAAGGCCACATCACAGAAATCACAGCAAGCCTGTTTTTTCAGCGGGGTGGTTAGGGTTTAGGGTTGGAATTTAGGGTTGAGGATCAAAGTGCCCGAAAACGGTTTGCCCGCGAATGCTTGGTGCGTCAGCTGTTCGGCTCGGGGATCAGCACCCCATGGCCCCTAAGCCCTAAACCGTCAGGATTTGGAGATCCTTCTTCTCGGGTTCATGAATTCAACTCATCGGGCTCATGAGCTTAAGATCCCCAAACCCTAAACCCTAAACGGCCCTAAACCATGGTTGCTTTAAGTGGCTTCGGTGCTTAAAGCTTCTGTGCTAGGGGTTTCGGGGAGGGGGGGGGGGGTGTCGGGTTGAGGCTTCGGAGTTCATGTGGGTAGTTCTCTAATTTAAATTAGGGATCCCTGTTTCGGCCCCCCAAAAAGTACGGCCTCTAACTTTGGGAACAGGTTCTAACCCGCACATACACTGCTTCTGTCATAGAAGGCCGATGCAAATCAAGTAGAAGCAGTGTGCACCCATCAGAAGCGGTAGATACACCAGAGAGAGACTTAAGTCGAGCACGTGCAAACGAAATCCCAGAAAAAAACCTATCTTCTTTTGGAAGACCAAGTCCCCAAGTCAAGTCCGCACCGCACTTTCATGGAATCATATTTACGTCCTTTCACTCCTTCAGCCGCACCTCTGCTAACCCACGCCCAAACAAGTTGCTTCTAGTTTGCACATGTGTTGATCCACAACAGAACACTGCATCCTGTGTAAAAGGGAAGCTACTTCAGCTCCCATAGTTTAAAGTATTTCCATCCGTCCATCACGCCTTTTACCCTGAAGCCCCTGTGGAAGCCTTTCTGGCACAAATATAGTCTTGAAAAAACCATACACACGCACCCTCACAGAAACTCCCCGCTTAAAGCCTGTTGCGCATAGAGCAGCTTGACCCCCAGCAGGTGTCTTTCATCTTCGAGGATCTTTGGACAATCGTCGTGAAGCTCATGGACGACTGGAGCTCAAATCTCTCTGATTTCTTTTGAGGGTTCAGGGTCTTGGGCTTAGGGTAATCATAGGGCTTGGTGTTTTGGGTTTAAGAGTTCGTAGGATGTGTGTGGCTTGATGGAGTTGCGGGATTTCAGTGTCTCAGTTTTGTTGACCTTTCAGGACTCAAGCTTTGCACTTTCTGCCCCAATGTTCCTCGTGGGTTGTCCTATGATGTTACTATAATTGGCGAAGTAGTTGTTGCCACGCGTATTCTGCTTGTTTCTCTTGAACTGCTGAAGGAGCCAATACTCCCAAGATTATAGCAGGGGGATTCTCAATCGTGACACCTTAATCAAGGGATATGGGGCTCACAGAGAATCAGCTTGGTGCTTAAACCCCCAACCTAAACCCTAAACTCTAAACCCTAAACGCTAAACCCTAAACCCCTAAACCCTAAATCTTGCGAAGATGCTGAGCAGAACTCCTGCACTGCTCAGGATATGGAGCAGCAGATTCAAGCCGTGGTGCTCTCTGCCCGCTTCTGACGCCCGAGCTGGGTTTAGGGTTTATAGGGTTTGAAACATCCTTCACGCCCTAAACTCCCCAAACCCTAAACCCCAAAACTCCGAAACCCCAGACCCTAAACCCCAAGACTCCTAAACCCTAAACCCCTTAGACCCCTGAACCCTAAACCCTGGCTCTCACCTAAACCAGGCAGCTCAGAACATCATTTCTGCATGTGCTTTAGAAGTTGGACAAGAAGTCTCACCTTTTGAGGGCCTCCAAGAAGAGCCCAGTAACAGGAGCAAGCGCGAATCCTACGGAGGTTCTGGGGTTTTATTGCAGTAGAAGCACCAATCCTAAAGCCTAAAGGCCTAAACCCTATAGCCTCTCCAAGCCCTAAGCTCCCTTAATCCTTCGATCCCGAAAACCCCTAAATCCCCCAAGCCTAGTATTCAGAGCTTCTGAAGATGAACGCTTTTGGATTCTGAGCCGTCCGCCTTCGGGCCCAGGAGGGGGCTTTGGGTTTGAGGATCAGGGTTCGGGTGCTGAGGATACTTAGGGTGGTTTAGGGTTTAGGGTTTAGGGGTACTTCGGGTTTGGGTTTGAGGGTTAAGGGTTTGGAGTTTGGTTTTTTTCGGTTTCGGGGTTTATGGCATAATGGTGTAGGTCCAGGGCCCTAAACCCAAGAGTTTTCAGGGATAGGATCAAGGATTAGGGTTTAGGGATTAGAGTTTAAGGTTTAGGGATTAGGGTCTAAGAAGGTCTAGGGTTTAGGGTTTGAGGCCTAGGGCCTATAGGGTTTAGGGATAAAAGTTCAAGGTTTAGGGTTTAGGGTTGCGTACACCGCCAGGTCAAGCCGCTGGTGCGCATGATGCGGAACCTGACATTGAGGCTTGGACTTGTTTCCAGCAATGCATCCGGTCGCACATGCTAGTCTTTGCTGGGGGCTACGAGGACGCATGCTGCGTAGGGGCTTCGGAACCCAAGACCACGAGTACTAACAGCGTCCCCAAGACCACGTCAGCATTGACAGCATCGCCAAACGAAAAGACTGCCGATCCCGAAAGCTGAACCTTGTCCTTGTGCAGGCTCTGCGATGTCAAGGTGACGCCTCGGAAGGACTTAGGGTTTAGGGCCTTAGGGTGTAGGGTTTAGGGCCTTCGGGTTTAGGGCCTTAGGGTTTAAGGGCCTTAGAGTTTAGGGTTTAGGATTTTACAGGGGTTTAGTGCCAGCAGCAAGCCCGAGTTCGTCTCTTCACGCCAGCCGTCTTCATGCGTAGTGTTCTCTACAAGAGCAGCAAAAGCTTCCCGCATGCATGCGCATAACACATTGAATCGCCGGACTTTCGATTGCATTGAATTGTGTTGACTTTGACGTTTACCCAGACCCCCATCCACCCCCCAAGTTATATCCCCCCAAATGCCTGCACACCAGTTGGGTACGAGGTCCTGGTACAAAAAGGCCTTTCAACGGACGTTGTGGGCGTTTAAACCCAAAGACTCCAAGAATATCCCTTAAATTCTAGTAGGACCCCTAATATGGTTAAGGTATATTCCTTAAATTAAGGGATATTGGAGTCTCTGGGGAGCAGCCCTGGCCGCAGCCATGGACGTTAAGCTGGGGCTCCTGGCCCTCCTCGGCCTCCTCGTGGCGCTGCTTCTCCCGGCCGTCTTCAAACCAGACTTCGAGGCCGACGACGGTGAGGGGGGTGGGGGGTGGGGGTGGGGGTAATATAGGAGCCTACCTAAATAAATACCAGTACTATTTATTATTATTAGTATAAATATTATTAGTATTATTAGAAAAAAAATATTTTTTTTTTTTGTGGGGGGTCCTTATTGTAAGTATGGTATAACCGGCCGCAAAACCCTATTCTAATTATTAAGGCCCCCTCTAGTAACCTTCAAACAGGTAGTACGGCCGTACCTTTTTGGTTTCAGGTCCCCCAAAATGGTACGGCACCCTTGTAAAAAGGACCCCGAAAGGGACCCTAATTTAGAGAACCACCCAAATATCCCATAAAACCCTACAGAACAGAAAACTATGAAGACCTTTCAAAACCCCGTCAAGCCCGAAGTAACCCCATGAAATCCCAAAGCCGTAAACCGACGGTGAGGCTGTCGACCATGACCATGTGCGGCAAGACCCTTGCAAAGAAGCCACTCTGAAGCTGGGTTCTTGTTAAGGCATTGAACTTAGTTTACCATAATCGGGCTCTGTAGGATAATGATGAGTTGTTCCTTATGATTGTAGCTGAAAATTCATGAGTTCCCTCAGCAAGACATAAACCCTAAACCCTAAACCCAAGAGCTCAGGAAGAACTACAAGTTCTCCTGCGCGAAGATCTCCGAGGAATCCAGGGAGCTCTTTAGCAACTCGGTTCCTGGAGTACCATACTTGAAGGTACTCCTGTTCCTTAAAGGAGGCCATCATGAAATTACAAGAACCCGTAAACCCGAATTAGACCCTAAACCCTAGACCCAAAAGCCCAGACCCTAAACCCTAAACGGTAGACCCTAAACCCTAATACTTAACTATAATATACCCGAAAAAACTCCCTAAACCCTATACCTTTTCTCTCCCTGGTCACTTCAAAAGCCCAGGCAAGGAGGGAGTGGTAGTTCTGCGCGAGGTCTTTGATCCAGAGGTGATCGAAACTGGGTTCTGGTTAAGTTTAGGGTTTAGGGTTTAGGGGAAGGAACTTATGAGTTGAAACTCGTAGGGATCTGTCAGGAACTTATAAGGTTGAAAATAGAAGGGATCTATAGTCAAACATGTAAATAGTGCGGTTGCCGTTTTGGTGGCAACTCAAATGGAGTTCACGAATTGACAACAACCCAGGAAGAGCTGGCGGCAGAGGTGAAGTGTCGCATGAGGCCCAAGACAACGGCGGAGGACTGGGCGCTGTCTGCGCAGAACGTTTGGATGGATTCCGAGGTCTTTGCACAGTTGCTGGGTTCTTGTTAAGGGATTTAATTTAAGTTACCATAATAGGGATCTTTAGTAAATAATATGGTTTCTCTATTATGGTAACTTAAATTAAATCCCTTAACAAGAACCCAGGTTGGTGCTGCACAAGGATAGCCCTTTGGGATGTCTGGCAGCACAGCTCATTCCGAATGCCAGCGCCATCCGTTACGCACACGAGACTGTGACACTGCTCCAAGAGGGCCAAAATGGCTCAACGGACTGGAGCACTGATGCCATACCCAGCAATCTTCGTGACGAGGATCCGGAGGATGTGCCCCTGATCCGCTTCTTTCTGCCGCTTGGGCCTCAGAACCTCAGCAACATCACCGGCGGCTCTTTGAAAATTATACCACTAAGCGCCTACACCAAGCTCCGGAACTTCTTCCCTCCTTGCTTCGAGGGCCGCGCGGACGCGGAAATGAAGGCCACGGGAGAACTGAAGGGAGATTGCATGGTGGCTCACCAACTCGCCTTCGCCCCACAGTTGCTGGGCTCTTGTTAGGGGGATTGAATTTAAGTTACCATAGTAAGGAACCCATCTTATTTACTAGAGATCCCTATTATGGTAACTTAAACTAATAAATCCCTTAACCATAATAGGGATCTATAGTAAATAAGATGGTTTCCTTATTATGGCAACTTAAAATTAAGTCCCTTTAACAACAGGAGCCCACTTAAACTTAAACCTTGAACCCTAAACCCTAAACTCTAAGCCCCAATCCCTAAACCCTACACTCTAAGCCCCAATCCCTAAACCCTAAACCCAGGTTGGCCATGGGTGACATACTGCTCTACAGCCCACTCATACCGCACGTCACGCAGCAAATGCTGACCGGCTCCCGTCTGGCCTTGCAGGGGAGCCTCTTGGAGAGACAATGTGCAAAACTTTTGAATTTTTTGAGCCTTAGACATTAAGCTTAATTTGTAAATAGTTTGGCCTTATATCTTAAACTCTTAAATTTTTTGGCCTTAAATATTAAGCTTGTAAATATTTTGGCCTTATGTCTTAAACTTTTAAACCTTTTTGGCCTTATATATTAAACTTTAAACTTTTTGGCCTTATATATTATGGTAAACCCCAATTAAAAGTTGGAAACCGGATTAAGGACAACTAGCGCCTGGATGCCCTATATTTTGGTCTTAAGGCTTGAGGCTATTAGGTTTCCAACTATAGGGTTTAGGGTTTAGGGCTTTTTGGGGCCCGGCTATTCAAGAAGACAGGCCTCTATGAGCCCAACCTTCTGGTGCCCTGGGTGCGGGACATGCCACCGCCCAAGTCCCTTGGTCAATCTTTAGGGTTAAGGGTTGAGGGGTCCTTTGTACCTTTCGTGGTTTGGGTTCCTGATATTTGAGATGGGATCCCGCAATTCTTTCTACCTTTCGTGTGTTCTTGCTTCCTGATTTTGTTGAAACAGGGAGGCCGGACAAACGGATCCTTCCTTTCTCTCCTTCCCAAGAGAGACCTAAGGTACGTGGACCCTGTGCGCTTCAACATCCAAGGCTCGATGCGCTACGACATCTTCTGCCGGGAACTTAGTACTACTAGTATCTACTATAGTAACTCTTTTACTCCATAAGGGAAGTTCTCAGTTGTGAGGTTTAGGGTTTAGTTTGGGTTTAGGTGCACAAGGCCAATCAGCACCTGTAAACCTCCGGAAAAGAGCACAAAGGTCTGGAACAGGCTGCCTGTTGGGATCGCGAGGCGCAGCAGTGCCATCACAACGTCAACTGGCAGAGCGCTGCTACCCAGGGCATCAGTGAGGAGCCCACAGCATGCTTTCCACAAGTGTATCTAGGTTCTTCAGTGGTACCCTTGTTGTACCCTTTTTGTATTTTGGGCTTCTATTCTAAGCAAATCCCAAACCAAAGAAGTCAACAGCCGAGGTATCCTCACCCGGTGGAGAGCGAAGTAGCGACCCGGTTCTCCAATGGTTTGTGGAACCCAATGGGGCCCTCTGCGGTCAGATCTCGCTGGATCCTCTATTCCTTTCCAGTGGTCAAGGCCTCCATGGCGCCCATGCATGGTCTGCTGGACTGGTGGCATAGGTTCCTGTGAGCTTTAGCACCACTGAAGAATTTTAATGCGTTAATGTTCGAGTTTGGCCTCACGTGCTCTCGGAACGTTGGGCCAAAATCCTGGGCGAGACTCGTGCGTGCTTCATGTTTTTCGTGCAGCGCAGTATATCGGAACAGGTCGTTGCTTTGAGGAGGGGGGGATTATCTACCCATCAGTCAAAGTGCCGCTGTCAATGTCATCGTTCTTCTGTGCCTGTTGGAAACTCACCGGCTAGCAACAGTTGCTGTCATTATGATGATCCCATTGGGGAGCCCTATAATTCTGATTGGATTCTTAATACGGCACTCTATAGCTTGGGAACCTGAAAGAGGTGCTAGTTTGGAGAACCATGTTCACCCAACCAGCGCTGGCTGCCGTTGGCTTCATAAACCACCCGTTGCATCCACTAACACATGTGTACTGCACAAGCATGAACGGCTTTGGCCGAACAAGCATGAACGGCTCAAGCCGAAGCCAAGCTGACCGGTGATTGGGAGACTGGCCTTCAATATCAGGGTCGCCATGGATGGAGTTGGTATACAGTGATCACATGATATCAATGCCGCTCACGAGCAACAAATAGAAGCAGCGACGACATCGACGACGACGGCTACTGCTCCTATTGCTACTCCCACTTCTATAACCCTTGCTGCACTACTAGTACTGCTACTACGGCTACTACTGCTACTACTACTACTACTACTGCTACTACTACTGCTACTACTACTACTACTACTACTCCTACTCCTACTCCTGCTGCTGCTACTACCACTACTACTACTACTACTACTACTATTACTATTACTACTACTACTACTACTACTACTACTACTATTACTTCTACTACGACGATGACGACGACGGACTATATTTTGCGGATTTTGCGGAGAGATGAGTGGAAAATCGACAAGAAGTAGACGGGCTACTGCAGGACACACACCTTGGGCTGTACAGTGATGAGAGGGATTTCTTTAGCTGTTGCAACATCATGGTGTAAGAGATGGTGCAGGAATATGTCTTTACCTTGGCCCTTGTTCTGGTGGTCCCAGAATCCAAAACCTAAACTTTGCACCCCAATGCCTAAACCCTAAACCCTAAACCCTATAAGCCCTAAACCGCCCTAGCAATAGTGACTGCGCCCTTCAACTTCGAAGGACGTGGAGATAGCCATGGCCGAGATCGTTCCTTTGCTGCTGCGCTTCTGCGAGTTCGGGACTTGTCGTACGGAGTTTGAAGGAGGACGAGACCAAAGTTCATTTCCGAGCAGATGAGGCTAGATGAGGCTGTTATCAGTCCCAGAAGCCCGAGCAGGAAGCCAGCCAAGAACATCAATGGCAGCAACTGTGCAAGTGTCCGTCTTGTGCACTTGGGTGAGCATGAACGACAGCAAGCAGGGACTTACTTTTTTTCGTCATGTTTCGCCAGAGGATTGGTGCTGATGTTCTCTGGCAAACCTCGTTTTGGGGTTTCAGCATTTACGGGGGATTGGATTGAAAATCTTTTGCGACTGACCTCTACCTGCGAAAGGAATATCTTCCGTCAGCCACAGAGCAACAGACCACAATATCAAGGTCGACACAGATCGCTGAAAATTCCTGGCATTTCCCCAAGGCTCAACCCTACTATCCATCCCCCGAACCCCAACATAGAATTACATACATACATACATACATACATACAGACTTACATAAGCACATACTTACATACAAACCCGAAGCCCTACACCCCAAACCCGGGACCCTACGCCCTAAACCTCAAAATCATTGTACCCTAAACCCGTTATCCTTAAACCCTAATCCCTAAACCCTAGCCTTAGCCCTAATCCCTACACCCTAAACCCTAAACCCTAGACCCTAAACCCTAAACTCTAGACCCTAAACCCCTAAATTCTAACCCCAAATGGAGTGGGCATGGGATCGTCGGGTCTCTGTGGGCGCGCCCGAGGCGCTACAAGCACGCGCAGCCGGTGTGCTTCGAAGTGATGAGGACGGGATTTAGGGTTGAGGGTTTAGGGTTTAAAGGGTTTACAGGGTTTAGGGTTTAGGGATTTAGGGATTCAGGGTTTAGGATTTAGAGTCTACGTAAAGGATCAGGGACTTCGTAAGTGTAAGTGGTGTCGGTTATAAGTAGGGTAGCTATGCTGTTAATTATAAGTACTTACAACCCAATCCGGGTAGTTGTTTCACCTGAATTACTACATCCCACGATCCTTCAAGCAGGGTCGAAGGGAAAGTGTGACCCGGACCGAAGATTCAACGGTTGAAGCGGGCTTAGGGTTCAGGGTTTAAGGGGGTGTCAGCGTTTAGGGGTTTAAAAATGGGGTAGAGGGCGTAAGTGTAAGTAAGAGTTTCAGGATCCAGGGGCTTCACGGGTTTCAGGTATGAGCGGGGTTGTTTTTGAAGCTGTTTTCTGTATAGAGTTGAAGGGTTTGAGGGTTATAGAACCCTAAACGCTAAACCCTTAACCGTAACAGTTATAGAGTTTAGCGTCTACGGGTTGAAGGGACAGTGGGTGAAGGGTTCAAGGTCTCGGTTTTCAGGATTTTTGATGGCTTGCTAATTTAAGGGTTGAGGGATCAAGAGTTTGAAAGCCAAGGGCTTGAGGATTTCGGGGTTTCGGGCTTAGGAACTCGTGAGACCAGGCTTCAAGCGTAGGGCACGGCCGCTGCTGAACACCCTGGGGCTCCGAAGCCCAGTACACCTCTAAGCCCCCGAATCCTAAGCCCTTACTTCTTCAGTCACCACCACCACCGCCGCCAGCACCATCACCCGTCTCTATGATTTATGATGCGGGCTTGCTTGAAAGCTGCACCAAAGGTCCTTGCTCGATGTAGATTTCGGACTGCTGGTCCCAGGTTCGGGAGGTCGGGGTGAAGATCTGGGATTTTGGTTTAGGGCTCAGGTTTGAGGAATTGACAGTCTGGGGGGTTTGCAGTTAGTTATGGGCCAAGTTATGGGCAGTTACGTTAAGGGTTGCCCCTACCTGCACGTGGCTGGCAGGGAGCTCATCAAAGGCGCGCACGGCACGAGCCTGCTTGAGCCGCATGTGCCCGTGCCCCGTTGCTTCGGGATGGCATGAAGGGAAAATAACCAGAGCATTTCATGTTCAGAACTGTAGTTGTTAATGCTGTTTGGATTGGACACAAAACCCTAAACCCTGAACCCTAAAGTATTCTGCCCTTGTTCGCTGTGCGCTTGGCTTACTAATCCCCCTGAGTGAAGGCTTCGGAGACGGGGGTGCAATCAGCTTTTACCCTTGAACGCTATAGATTCACTATAAATCCTTCAGTCCTAAACCTTAAAACCTAAGCTAAAGCCTAAGACATTCCGGGTGTGCGACGACTACCCGAAATCCTTTAGGGATGTGGATCGGGATTCAATGGCAACGGGTTTGGGGCGTAGGTTCATGGGTTTCGGTCTTGGTAGTTCTCTGAATTCCTGTCCCTTTTTGGGTCCCCAATCTAGTACGACACGCTTATGAAAGGGTCCCCAAAAGGGACCCTAATTTAGACAACTACCCATATAGCACCCAGATGGAGCCTTGCTCTCCGAAGCCCGTAACCTCCGTTTCCTAGGCAGCACGTGGTGCCACCTCTCCTGGTCTCCTTGTCTATGCTGGAGAACGATGCGCTCCAGATTGGGACTGAAAGGGTTCGTGCTTTAGGGCTCTAACATAGGGGCCTTGATCATTCGAACAGGGTGTTTGGGGTATATTATGCTACAACTATAAGAAAGAACCCCCAAATTTGGGGTATATTATACTGCAACTATAATAAAGAACCCCCCTCCCGAATTTTGGTGTACATCATACTATGACTAAAATAAAGAGTATAAAGAACCTCCCCCCCAACAAAAACAAAAGACAGATAAGGATTTAGGCCCTATCTTAAGCAAGCCTGGGGTTTCTGGCTTGGGGCTCAGGGTTCAGTGGTGGGCCTTTGGGGTTGTAGGGTTTAGGGTTACAAGGCTTCAGTACGGGTTGAAAGCGGCTATTAAACTGGGTTTGGGGAAGTTCTATGCCCTTCTAAACCCGAAACCCTGACTATGGGATTGCTGAATTAAGGGGTTTCTGCGTTGACATAGGACGGTTGATGATATAAGTCCTGCATTACCCATAATAAGGAATATACCGTAGTTCCCATAGTTAAGGGTCCTTAAGGTAATGCAGGATTTATATCATCAACAGTAAGTAAGCTGCGTCTCCAAGTGTGGTCTAGGACTCTGATTTTTTGTCTGGGCTGAGGCTTGAGCTGGGCCTTCATCTACCACAAACTTGTAGGGTCCCTATGAGTTCTATGTGTTTAGGGTTTAAGGTTTAGGTAGGCTTTATACCAGTTTAGGAGTCTGGAGGAGTTCAGGGTATACAGGGGTTCAAGGATAGCGGGGTGCGGCCTCAATTCGGAAAAGCGGCTGGCGCCAGAACCTGTATTGCGGATGCCAAGCTGTTCGCCAACTGCACCTAGAGGACCTAGAGTTAGCTTCGAATATCTCAGGTTACCCCGAAAACCCCTAAACCCTAAACTCTAAACCTCGAACCCTAAATCCCTAAACCCACATCCTTTGAACTCCAATACCTGGACTTTCTGCCTGAAAGCTTGCATCATGAATTCTTAACACCTGGAGACCCTGAAGACGGAAGCTGATTAAGGGTTTTCCTTCAATCTACACCATGGAAGAACTATACTGCATCTTTCGAGGATGATGCAAACGAGGTACGGGGACATCAGAAACCGAATCGGAGCAGAGTTTGTGACAAACCTAATTCAATTGTTTAATGGATTTGGGGCGAGTGCCCCTAAAGTCCAAAACTGAAAAAGCTGAAGCCTAAAGCCTTGCATCGCCTTCCTTGGGTGCTCAGATATTACCAGTTCCACATCAGTGCCAAGTCGGAGGAGAAGGGGAAGGACCGCTCGGAGGGACGAGATTGAGGGCTTGGGCTTCGGGTTTTAGGGTTTTCGGCCCGTCTGGGGGGTTGTGTTAAGTCGTACCGCCCTGCGTGAA